TAGAGGCTGCGGTTAGAACCTACACTTGTGGGAAGAGGGGGAAAGGGGACCTGAGCTTCCATGACAATCTGTCACGTGCCAGATTGTGCTAGAAATGTTCGCTTCCATCAGGTGCTCCAAACACACCTATGAGGGAATTACTATGACTCACGAGGCCTCCCAGGCAGGAACTGGTGGAGCTGGTATTGGGGCCAAGGACCTGTTCCCTCCACATGCATGCTCTTCACAACAAATTGCCCTGTGGCCTCACGTGCAGAAATCCATGCACATTCTGGTTATTGTTTGGGAATCCCTGAGGCTTCTGCTTGTTGGTTTGCTATTGTAATTTCATTTATATTTTCTTCCATAATTGAAAAGATGAAACATCTATTGTTGACTGCTTCTTTGTAGTTTTCCTTTATAAATTGCCTTTGGAAGCTCTCTGCCTATTTTGTGTGTGTGTGTGTGTTTCAATGGAGGTACTGGGGACAGAACCCAGGACCTCATGCATGCTAAGCATATGCTCTACCACTAAGCTATACCCTCCTCCTCCCGTCTATTTTTCTAGCGGGATGCTTTGCACATTTCTTAGTGATTTGTAAAAATTTCTTAGTGATTCTTTATATATTAAGGCTACAATCCAGTATAACACTCCATTTGCAATCAGCTAACCATGGGAGCTGAGGTATTAAAAGATAAAGAAGGTGTCTGTCCTCGTGTTGGAATTTTTTACACCAAATGCTGTTTCAATGATCTCCCTTGAAAAAAAAATGACTTTTTGGCATATTGAGAACTTGAATGATGACTGTTTACTGAGTAGCAACATTTAGTTAAAAAAAAAGTTTGATTTATTAAATAAGCAGTTAAACCAATGGCAATTAGACCCTTACTCCTCCGAGTAGGTTTTGGAAAGATAGAAACCAATGAAATGAGAGCTCCTGATTGTGATGTCTGGTCCCTGCAGAGAGACCACGGCTCTACTCAGAGGGGGCTGGCTACTGGGATAAAGAGGAGTTGGAGTGTGGCAGGCAGAGCACTCGGTCATAACTGAGTGCATCCCCCTTAAAGTAAATTCATTCCAAAAGAAGGTCCTCCACGTCACCATTCCTAACAGGCAGTAGTGCACCAGGGCCAGCTACCATTGGCCTAACAGTGCCAACTGTTAACATTTTCGAGCACTTTGTGAGCTGGTTTTTAACAGAGCCATTATTTAGAACTGAAATATATAAAATTATAATGAAACCAATTATATTGAGAACCAAGGTAACAAATATTCAGAAATCATTGCTTCCTTATTATTTGACTCTACTTTGTCATTTTTCTATGCTTTGGGTTATTTACATCTATTCTGACCATACAAGGGAAATACTCTCTACTGGTGGCCACCGTGTGCCTCCTCCCAATTCTGCTTCCAGTGAGGTCACCTTGGTACCTAGAAATCAGTCTGGTGGGAGCATTTACACATGGAAATTAATAAATGCAACAAATGAGGGCTGGGTTTACTGTCAATTTTCAAGACTTAACAAACTGATAGAGAAAATATTTTTGCTGTTGTTGTTTTTTTGGCAAGGGGAGGTAATTAGGTTTATATATTTATTTATTTTTAATGGAGGTGCTGGGGATTGAACCCAGGACCTCGTGCTTGCTAAGCACGTGCTCTACCACTGAGCTCTACCCTCCCCTAGTGACAGCACTTACATGTGCATTTCTAGCTCAGACCTCCCTTAACCTCCAGGTACCTGGCTCTACCTGGATTTGTCAGAGTCATCTTCAAAAACGAGCTCCTGATCACCTCTCCAGCACCTGCTCCACCTGCAATGTTCCAGACCTAGGGGACAGCAACCCTGTTCTTCTGCTGCACAGAACAAAACTCCTGGAGTCCAAGGTGTCCACTCTCTTCTCTCATCACCCACATCTGATCTGTCAGCGAATCTTCTTGACTCTGCTTTGGGAACTGGCTACTTAGGACACTTCCATGGCTGCTACCTGGTCCAGGCCACCAAGCCCCCAGGAGAAGCCCTAGACTAGTGGACCCGGGGATCCCCTAGGCGCCTGCCTGGCTCCCCACACACCCCAGCCCTGCAGGAGGAGGCTGTCCTGAACTGGGTCTTACGAGGAGCGGGAACGGTGTGGGCTGGAGAGAGGGGAGGAGGAACCTCGGGCCAGCAAAGTCCCTCCCGGGATGTGGACGCATCGCACACGCCACCACCGCAGAGAGAGGCATGTCCTCAATCAGATCTCAGAGAGCATCTTGCTCAGCTCCTTATCACAGCCTAGGACACTGAGGTCCAGAGAGGAACCTGGACTCACGAAGTTCTTAGAAACGGGACACCTGCTAGGCTCAGGATGGTATGCACGATTCTCCTCAGCTTCAAACAGACAAGTTGACCACACCATGTGGATGCCCGGCCATGCTGCCAGCCTCCCTCCACATGCTCTGCTGCCTGCAGTGGCCCCCAGGCAGTGAGGGCTGGCATGGGTACTCTGACCTGTGCCCCTGGAGGAGGCAGCCGGCGTGAGCAGTCAGCCCTTGACCGTAATAGGAGGCCGGTACATGCCGGGACTTTTGGAAGATACATTTAAGAGCTTCTACTTTTACAAGATGTCCATTTCAAATGATGTAAAATTTTGAATTTTTTGATTTTCAGAATTTGTGACAGTCACGTATTTCATCATAGTGATTATTTTAAAGGCAGAAAGAAAGTGATTTGGGGAGGGGGCAGGGGAACCTTGTAGCTGGCCTGATTATCTCAAATCAATTTTTTGCATAAAGCAAGTCAATGTTCTTTTATTCCCTCCAGTTAAAAAAAAAAATCCCTGAAACTGTATTTTACGGAAAATCAAAAAAGAACCTGGGCTGAGGGAGCGATCAAGACACAGATCTGCACAGAGAAGCAGGGACAAGACATCAGAGAAAGAAGGCCTCAGGAAAAACGCCTCCACAGACAAGCAAGACAGGAGCCCAGTCCTGGACGTCACCAGGGGTCCCACAGTTCGCTGTGGTGGCCACAGGCCAGGACGTAGCGGCAAGTCTACCTTTCTTTCCTACTGGGCCTTGTCACCTTGGCCTGGCTCAGAGCAGGCATTCAGCACAGATCGGCTAAGTAGATGATTATTCACTAAAAGAGCCAGGAAAGGGAGCAAACGACCAGAGAAGTAAGCAACCGGAAAGCAAAAATGTAACAGCCCCTCCATTTGCCAAAGCGTCAAAAAAGAATAAAATGCTGAGGAACAAACTGAAGCAAGGAAGTAGACTGAAAACTACAAAATGCTGCTGAAAGAACCAACCCTAAATAAATGGAAAGACATCTGTGTTCACAGATGGGAAAACTTAATAATGTTAAGATGGCAATAGCCCCAAATTGACCCGCAGATTCAGCAAAATCTCTCTCAAAGTCCCGACTACCTTTTTGGCAGAAATTGGCAAGCTGATTCTATAATTCATTCACGGAATTGCAAGGGCCCGAGCATAGCCAAAATAATCCTGAAAGTGAAAAAGTTGGAGGACTCATGTCCCTGATTTCAAAACTTACTACAAAGCTACAGTAAACAAAACAATGTGATACTGGCATAGGGTCAGACCTATAGGCCAATGAAATGGAGCTGAGAGATCAGAAACAAGCTTGCACATCCATGGCCAACTGGTTTTACACAAGGCTGTCACAACCATTCACTGGGGGAAGAAGAGTCTTTTCTACAAATAGTGTGAGGACAACTGGACAGACACGTGCAGAGAATGAAACCGGACTCTTATCTTACGCTGTCTACAAAAATTAATTCAAAAAATGGATCCAAGTCCTAAACATGAGAGCCAAAACAATACAATTCTTCAAAGAAAACATAGATTTCAATCTTCATGACCTCAGATTAGGCAAGGGTTTCTTAAATATGACGCTAAACTGTGAAGCAAAACTAGAAAAAATAAACTGAATTTCATCAAAGTTAAAAACTTTCGTGCATCAAAGGACATTACCAATGAAGTGAAAGAACAACCCACAGAATGGGAGAAAAAATTTGCAAATCATAGTCTCTGTTAAGATTCTAGTATCCAGAATATTTTAAAGAACTCTTATAACTCAACAATAAAAGAAAAAACAACCTCATTTAAAAGGGAGCAAAAGACTTGAACAGACATTTCTTTAAAGAAGACATAAAATGGTCAACAAGCCCAGAAGATGTTCAACATCACTGATCATCAGGGAAAAGCAAATCAAAACCACAATGAGGTACCACTCACATCCTCTAGGATGGCTGTAATTTAAAAAAAGTGCCGGTGAGGGTAACTGCTGGTAGAGAAATTAAAATCCTCCAGTCGTGCTGGTAGGAATGTAAAATGACCTAGCCACTGTGAAAACCAGCCTGACAGTTCCTCAAAAAGTTAAACAGAGAATTACCATATGACCCAGCAATTCCACTCCAAGATATAGACCCAAGAGAACTGAAAACATATGTCCACACAAAACTTATACATGAATGTTTATAACAGCTATTAAGTTGAAACAACCCAGCTGTCCATCAACTGATTGATACAGCAGGATGGTATGTCATCATATAAAGGGATAAAGTTCAGACACACGCTACAATATGGATGAACCTTGGAGACATTATGCCATTGAAAAAAGCCAGTCACAAAGGGTCACATATTACATGACTCCATTTATACGAAATGCCCAGAAGAGGCAAGTCCAGAAAACAGAAAACAGATTAGGAGTTACTAGGGGCTGGGAGGGGATGGAGAATGGGGGTGACTATTTAATGAGGATTGGGGTTTCCTTTTGGAGTGATGAAAAAGTTCTGGAACTAGAGAGTGGTGATGGTTGCACAACACTGCGAACGTACTAAAAGCCACTGAATTGTACACTTAAAAATGATTAGAATGGAGAGATTCATATAATGTAACATTTTCATCTTTGAAAAAACAACAACCCAGAATCAACAAGGCACTGGAGTTGAATAAAAGCCTGGCGTTAACAAAAGGGTTGAAACACACAAGTTGGGGGACATGCCCAAGAGCCACTGACCTTGTTTCTCTGGGTTGCGGACTTGGGACGGCATGTCTTGGATTTCCAAGGTCCACTCCCCCTCGGCCTTTTCTCCCCAGCAGTGCACGCTCATGAACTCCCAGTTTGTAAACCCTTCATTGGAATGATCCAGCAATCTGCAATTGGAGATGTGGGGTCAGAATACGGAGGTCCCGAGAGGAGGGGTGGGTGTGGTGACCAGCCTGGGTGGTCTGGACTCCATGACTCTTCCCCTGAAGCCCCAAGAGCATCAGGAAGGAGGTCTCCCTAAAATGCTGGTTTGTGCAGACTCACAAACATAGAGAACAAACTGACCACCAGTGGGGAAAGTGGGTGGGAAAGGATAAATTGGGAGTTCGGGATTTGCAGATACTAACTACTATATATAAAATAGACAAACAACAAGTTCTCACTGTAGCACAGGGAACTATATTTGATACCTTGTAATAGCCTATAATGGAAAAGAATATGAAAACGAATATATGTATGTATAGGGATGACTGAATCACTATTCTGGTACATCAGAAATTGACACATTATAAACTGACTATACTTCAACTTAAAAAAAATTCTTGTTTGTGGAATGAAAGAAACTTTAACGTCTGTCCGGAGCGAGTCTTGTGGATGTCCTTCAGAAGATACAAACAAAAAATGAACAGCTACACAAACTTGTGGGAAAGATGTCGTCCCCTAATCTCCAGGGCTTAGCAGTTCCCACTGCTGCATCTGGGAGCTAGGATGGTGGGAGGCAACTCTGGGCGAGTGTGGCAGGCTGAGGATCAGCTGCACCCCTCCCCCGAATCGCCAGCTTTTCCCAGCAGTTGCACGAGCCTCCCTCGGTCCTTCCAGACTGAATAAGGTCCGTCCCACTGGACCTCCAGCCCTGGACCACTTTCTCATGCCTGATTCAAGAAGAAACAGAGAAGACTCCTGGGCATCCTATATGTTCCAGCACCCAGTGCCCTGCAGTCCCTTCTCCTTCGAAGAAACAATTTCAGGTTCTTCACTTTACTCTCCCTTCATAGTTTAATTTTCCATCTCTATTTCAGAGTGACAATTTTTTAATGTAAGGGTGCTTTACTGTCCATCAGAAATTCAGATATGTATGTTTTGTGTGATGTAAGATTCAATTCCCAGTTGGGGGTTCTCTGAGCCTCCACTGAACAAAAATGTTTATCGAGAGGACACGCTTTGCAGGGAGAATGTGAGGGGAGGGGAAATGGCAAAGGTCAAAGCTGGTTTTCACACAGGATGCCAAACGGCCTCCAACGCACTGGCAGCGGAACAAAGACCCACTGTCTTTTAAGAGCTGACGGGCTTAACGATGTCAACTTACTCTTCGTGGAAGAAACCCCAGGCACCTGAAACAGCTGCTGAATTCAGCAAGATGTGAAATAAAGCAGAAGGCATTAGTCCAGACACTAGCTCTTGGCCAAAAGGTGGAGAAGGGATTGAATCCTAAAACACACACTCTTATATAGTCATGCAATCTGCCTTGGGAAAAAAAATTCCAAGACTTAGAGGACTGACGGACAAGTGGCCTCAAGGCAGCTCTCAAAGGCTTGATGGCTCCTGACCTAGAGACTGAGTAGCCATGAATGAGAAGAACCCGGGAGGACCCGCCTTCTCCCACCCAGGGGCTCAAACCCTGGGCCTGAGCAGAAAGAGGGAAGATAGGAAGGGAGGAAATCAGAGCTGGGGTGCCAGAAGGTTCCTGCTGGGCAGGTGGGTGGTGTAACAGGACAGGAAGGGCAGCGCCCGTATCTGCATCCACAGCCAGGACTTGTAATAGTCCCAGTTGTGACTGAGGAGTCACGTGACATTTCCAGGGTTGAGGGGCAGTGCTGGCTCCCAGGTGCCCAGCTGGGAGGTAAAGGAGCTGGGGTGTCAGCTCAAGTCTCGAGGCCCCAGAGCCCCCGCTTGCTCACCCAGGTCACTACCCCCCACAGCCCTAAGTCTCAGCATGGTGCGCAGTCAACGGAGGCCACCATCTGGGGTCTGCACCCAGCTCCCGCCTGGGATTCAGGGATCCCCACTCAGGTGTAGAGTGAACGGGGGTCCAGCAAGGTGACTTCACAAGAGCTGGGAGAAGGGGACCCCACGCCTGGCCGCAGTGTGGTGCCAGGACCAGGCCTGGGGCACATGGAAGCAGACTTGCCCACCTGCTGGCTCTGGGCTCATGTTTGCACGGGGAACGTGGGGCTGGTATTGAAGAGCTTCCAATTACTCAAGAAACACTAGATATTTGGGCTTTTCAAATGAATACTCCAAAAGGCCTGACAATAACACCAACAATAACAACTCGGTTGCAAAGCAGCACAAAGCCGCAGCTTGCCAGCTGGCAACCTCAAGAGCCGATGCCCGTGCTGGTCTTCCACGTGCAAACCAGAGGGGGGCCTGGACCTGCCTCCGGGGGGAGAGAAGTCCCTGGTCACTCTTGAGTGGTGACGGGGGAGCCCGGTAGGGGCTGAGTGCTGGGAACCAGTGAAGAGCCCGGGTCTGGTCTCAAGGTGGTTCCAGCGCACTGAGGACATGCCCGGGGCTGTGCCCATAGCCTGCTGCCCCTACTGCCGGCTACAGACAGACCAGGCTGCTGGGGGACCGGGCAGGGGTGAGGAGGACCCAGCTCCCCACTCCCTCAGAGTCACTTACTATCCTAAATCTGAAGTGTTCCAAGACATCTTTAAAGGGCAGGTTTCAGGTCTGTGGGGTCTACAGGTGAGTGTCTCCAAGAGGAAGCTGCTGGTAGAACCCCCGCCCACATGCCAGGTGCCTGGTGGGGCCCTGGGACTCCAAGGTGAGCCCGGCTCCTGCCCCAGCCTCCCAGGCCAGCCTGGCCTTACCTTTTTGCCAAAAGTTGAGACTTGGTCCCCGAGGGAGAAATCAGATGGATCTGCAGGTCCCCTCGGCGTGGGTGGGAGATGGAGATGCGGGCCACTACGTGCTCCAGGTAGCTCACACGCTGGTCTGAGTGGTCAGCGCAGGCGGTTGTCAGGGCTGTGGTCCGCAGCGTCTGCACCACAGGGATGCTCCTGGGAGGAGAGGGAGGGTGAAAGACTTAGCGCCTGAAGCACAAAGTTGCACACAAGGCCGATGGATGGACCCAGGCCTTCCCTGCTATGGCCTCTGTGCTGGGGACCCCCAGGGACACTGTAGCCCCTCGATGTCTCACTCTCAGACACATCTGCCCAGAGACATTCATCATTCTGAAATTTGCTGAGAGAGACTTTAAAAATGTCTTCTGAATAGCCAAGACATGGAAACAACCTAAGTGCCCATAGACAGATGACTGGATGAAGAAGTTGTGGCATATATGTATATATATATATATATACACACACACATATACAATGGAACACTACTCAGCCATAAAAAAGAATGAAATGATGCCATTTGCAGCATCAGGGATGGGCCTGGAGATTGTCATTGTCAGTGAAGTCAGCCAGAAAGAGAAAGACAAATACCGTATGATATCACTTACATGTGGAATCTAAAAAAAAGACAAATGAACTTATTTACAAAACAGAAACAGACTCAGACATAGAAAACAAACTTATGGTTATGAGAGGGGGAATGGGATGGGAAGGGATAAAGTGGGAGCTCGAGATTCGCAGATACTATGTAAATACATATGTATACAACAGATATGTATAAAAATGTAAAATGTAAAAAATATGTATAAAATAGATAAACAACAAGTTCACACTGTATAGCACAGGGAACTATATCCAATATCTTATAGTAACTTAAGGTGAAAAAGAATATGAAAACAAATATATGTATGTTCATGTATGACTGAAGCATTACGCTGTACACCAGAAATTGACCCAACATTGTAAACTGACTATACTTCCATAAAATATATGTATGTGTGTGTGTGTGTGTGTGTGTATAAAAGACACAAATGAATTTATTTACAAAACAGAAACAGACTCACAGACAATGAAAACAAACTTAATGGTTACCAGGAAGAAAAGGGAAAAGAGGGTGGGAAGGGATTAATCGGGAGTTTGAGATTTGCAAATATTAACTACTATATATAAAAATGGATTAAAAAACAAATTTCTTCTGTGTAACACAGGGAACTCTATTCAATATCTTGTAGTAACCTCTAATGAAAAAGAATATGAAGAGGGATATATGTTATGTGTATGTATGACTGAAACCTCATACTGTACACCAGATATTGCACATTGTAACTGACTATGCTTCAATTCAAAAAACAAAACAAAGCGAAGAACATCTTCTGGTGCAGACTCAACTAACGCACCCAGGGATGTGCCCTCTTGGTGCCCAAGAGGGGGCTTGTCTTAAATAGCCTTTGGGCAGCTCATCTTCCTACCTGCCTGGAGTCTGCAAAGCTTGATAACCCCACTACTTTGTTTCAAAGATTGGCCTGGAAAATCTAAGTCTTGATGCTGTGTATTAACAACAGTAAACATTTCCAGAGGTGACCACATGCCAGGCACCAGCCACTGGTCTGAGAATCTACAAGGACTGACCCATTCAATCCAGAGAGAGGTCAAGGACCGTGCCCCAGGTCACACAGCTATCGAGAGGCAGAGCTGGGCTCTGAGGCTCCAGAGCCCCCTGCGTCCACCTCTGTGCCAGCCTGTCCCGCAAAGATCTTGTGTGGACCCACGCCTGTGGTCAAGCAGCCGGGAAAGAGGAGATGGACAGGGGACCCAGGCTCAGAACTGGTCTCTTGTGCTGAATGCACGAGTGGAGGCACTGGTGACTGGACCAGAATCTTGGAGGATGGACAGGAGATGGTCTGCTCTGGACCCTCCTGCTTGAAGACTGGGCGCCCCTCCTTCTGCCCTGGGACAGGAATGAATGACGATGGCTCTCTTTCCAAACTCAGGGAAGTTCCACCACTTGGGGGTGGAATCTGAGGACCAGCACCAAGCCCCGGTTATTCAAGAGTCAGTTCCACCAGAACGTTCTCACATCCCCCCAGATGAAGCAGACAAGCCTGCACCAGGTGCTCACCAGAGTCAGGGCCGGGCCACCCACAGACTCTGTACCCCCCACAGCTGCCCTGGTGATGTGTACACTGAAGACAGGCCCACCCACCCTCCGCCCAGCAGCACAGTAACGATTCCTCCTGCCTGGCCCGGGGGGGTTTTCGCATTATGCCCAACTTCCCTCTGGGGAGAGGAGGCTCAAAGTGTGGGCTCAGTGTCTCTCAGGAATTACATGGCTGGGTTCTACTGGGCCTGAGTCATAAAAAAACAATCCAAACAGTTAGAAACAGTGATGCAATTCCCTGGAGACTCTCTAAATATTTGAAAACATGATTTGCATACATCATAAATTGATTTAAAGATGCTGACTGTTTTCACTGCCTTCTCCCAAGTTTTACAGCCTGTGTTCACCCGTCAGCAGCCCCTGCCCCGCTGAGACAGATGCAGAGCAGAACAGAAAGCTCTGGAGAGTTCCGGAGGGTTCCAGCCCCACCGGGCACACACACACACGTACCGCCAGGTAAATTATTCCCCGGCCCCCCAGCACTGAGAAGGCAAAGTGGGCGTGTTTGGGGGGAGGGGACTCCTCCGTGTGAAGACTCACTAAATCACCCCCACGCCTTCCTGGGCTCGACAGCAAGACGGGGTGAAACAAACAACAGTCACAACAAAGTTTTAAAATCTGCCCCTGTCCCCTAACCCCCTAACAATCTGTCAGTTGGGGTGGGGAGCCACCACTCTGTTCCAGAAAGAGACCTGGAATCCCAGCGAGGAGACCTTAATTCTAACGGCAAGGTGCAGGATTTCAGAGAACAGGGACAGGAGAGGAAAATTAGCCACCCAGCCAGACCCCGCCTCACAGGCCGCCTCCCTGGGCCCAGTCCTGGTGTCAGCATTGACAGGAAAACAAATCTTGGGTCTCAGGGAGTGTTAAATACTCAAGGAGATCACTAGAGGGTCTCGCGTTCGGCGGTTTTCACTCCTGCTAAGGGACTCCAGCTGCGAGGCCCTCTGAGGTCAGAGAGCTTGGCTGGTCTGACTACAGGAGCCACCCTGCCTGCAGGTTTTATGTTAAACAGTGCACAGAAACACACAAACACAGGTAAGCTGGACTTGAATTACGAAAACTGATCTAGAGAAATCTCAAAAGTTCCCACAATGACCGAAAATGCTCCTCTGTGATTAAATTCTGGAACTGCTGTCTGTGTCCATAAAGCCATCTTCTGAAGACCCTACAGGAGCCCGAGGAGTTAAAAGGACCTACCTCCAGATGCAGTGAAGTCAAGCTGTGCTTTTCCTGTTTGGGAAAGACCTCTGGGGGCAGAGACTTGTCATCGCCTGTAGAGCCACATTTCGGATGTGATTACTGACACTCAGATGTTCTTTCATCCTAAGCAGTGGCTCCAAAGTCCCCCAGCAGGTCCCTTTTCCCGAGGGGTGGAGGGTTACCTGCCCGCAGCCTTCACGATCACTTCCCAGTACCTCCATCCAGTCTTCTCTAGTACATGACGCTGTCCAATTTCTTGTAAATACGTAGAAACAAGTTCCCAATCTACCAAATGCAAGGCACTCACCAAATCATGGTGCTTAGACTCTCAGGACACTGGAGTGATGTTCAGAATCAAAGGTAGAAATCTTTTCAAGGAAAGCAAGGTGCAGGGAAACAAAGGAGCAGTTGGGCCCCAGGCAGGATCTCTCTACCTACCCATGTGTCTTTCTGCTCCAGCTGGGAAGCTACTACACGTCAGGACAGGCAGAATTCCTTCTGTTGCACTTCGCTTTATGACGCTTTGTACAAAGTGAAGGTTGGTGGTGACCTGGTGTCAAGCAAGTCCATAGGCACCATTTTTCCAAAAGCTGACTTCGTGTCTCTGTGTTATGTTTTGGTCATTCTCACAGTATGTCCAAGTTTTCAGTATTATATGTTCTGGTGATCTGTGATCAGTGATCTCTGATGTTACTGTTGCAAAAAGATTATGACTTGCTGAAGGCTCAGGTGATGGTGAGCCTTGTTTAGCAATAAAGTATCTTTAAATTAAAGTAGGTACATTGTCTTTTTAGACATAATACTGTTGCACACTTAACAGAATGCAGTATATTGGAAACGTAACTTTTATATGCACCGGGAAACCAAAACATTAGTGTGACTTGCTTTACTGCAGTGGTCTGGAATCAAATCCATCACATCTCTGAGGTCAGCCTGTATTTCTCACCTCTACCCTAAGACCTCTCCCCAGCTCAGCCTCAAGGCCAGCCCTGCACCCCAGCACGGAACATTCCCAGGGCAATGTCACCTTTTCAAGCTGTGGGGCTGGTGCCAGAGCGGGTGGGGCTCAGTTTCTCAACAGATGATTCTGAGGTTGTGTGGAGCAGGAGGCACCCCAGAACCAGAAGGCGGCAGCATCCTTCTCTCTGTTGTCTTTGGCATCCCTCTGCGGGAGAACAGGTTGCTGCAGAGCTGAGGACCATGACCATGGAGGGTCAGCCAGGAAGGTCAACCTGAAAGGGTCAACTAGGAAGGTCAACCAGGAAACCCTTTCACCAACCTTCTAAAGGTCATGACTGGAGTGGAGAGGGGTTAAGCAGGACAGACTACTTAAACTAAACTGTAGGAAAGAAACCAGATCTGCGGGATGGCTCAGAGTCATCTGTGTGGGGACAGCAAGAAGGTTCTGGGTCATTTCTTAGACCTATGTTCCTCCTGGGTGACCGTTCTTGACAGGATGGTTACAAGAGTCTGAGGCAGACAAATTCTGTGCACCTTCTCACTCGTATTCATTCACGTTTAGAATCTTCCTTGGATGAAATTACTTTGATTATCCAACCACAGAAAATCATTTAGGCTGGAAATAAAATTTAACTTAAAAAGTAACAAAAAAAGGAAGCTAATCCAGTACATTCAGACAATGCTATCCATGATTAATTGGACTATGAGGTGTTTTAATACAGAATGTTAAAATTTATAGCACATGTTTCTCTTCTGTGTGAAAGGAGGCTACATTCGCTGGCTGTAAGCATACCTCCTGATGCTAAGATTCAATCTGATGGGGAATAAAAAAGGATCA